ACTAGTAAAATGTTTATCAGGATATCAGCAACATTTTACTAGTTAACCACTTTTTGATATCTTTCACAGAAAATGAGATATATAGGCTCAAAGTGGACGATCCGGGTGTCGTTCTATTAGAGGTTTTACGGTATGTACAAGATAACAAAAATGAATCAACTGATAAAATCAACAATGTACCAGTTGAAAAGTTTTTTATATCTATAACAGGAACCGAGTAAAATTTACTCAAAGTTAAGAGTTAGAAGGCTCTCTTATTACAGGTTTTCCGGGATACCGTAAAACCTGCAAGAACGGCGCTCCCGAAATTTTCAGGTCCCAGTTTTTAAAATTCGAAAAGATTGGTGTTTTTGCTTTTTTAAATGTAGCAATTGTAATGGAGTTTTAGTAGAAAAACGAAATTTTCCACTAAAAAATGATGTCCCTCCAATAGAAGTTCCGTTCTCAGAGGACCCACGAAAAATACAAGTGCCCCCTCTATTTGAAGGGCCCCTCTAATTGAAGTGCCCCCCTAGACACCCCACGAAAAATTGAAGGGCCGGCCCTTCTAATATTGGTTTTACGGTATGTATTAATTCTCAAATAACAATGGAATACTATTCTTTCAAATGCACCAATTCAAAAAACGGGGTCTAACTCAAACCGGCGGCAAGCTCATAATGTATCAAACCGCTATGGCTTTCAGCTGCACCATTAGCTCAGTGCCTACGCGGCCAATTATTGAGCTGAAGGTCTTTGGATCAACTCGCAGCTACTGTTACATTATATGAAGAAATCGTTAGTTACTGATGTCAGAGGTACAGCTGTTCTTATGACTTTCTATGATAAAAATACCGAAGCTGAGGATGTTTTTACCACAGGTTAGCTGCCGTAAAACTTGTAATAGAAGGGCACCCTAACTTCAAACGTTGGCTCAATTTATTTCGGTTCCTGTCAGAGATATAGAAAAATCGTCAACTAATGAATTGTTTATCATAATATCCAAAGTGTTTTGTCAATTGACACATTTTCAATATCTTTCACAATGATTGAGATATGTAAGCTCAAACATAACAGTGTGGGGACCCTTCTATCACAGGTTTTCCGGTGTCCATTTCAACTTGAAACCTTTTTTAAAAAATATAAAATCTCACCTTGCGCAACTTCGAACGTCTCATAACTATTGTTTCTTGGTAATAATGAATGAACCGATTGTGCAGCCGCTGTTGCAATAGTAGTCGGACCACTCGTATGACTTACTACCAATTCAACTGTCACTCGATTATCGATTTTCTTGTCTGAAATTAAAAATTTTTCGCTTGTTAAAAAACTCATTAAAAATGGGTTACCATGAAAAATAAGGTCCAATTCTTCCTTGTGAAGTCTGACGACACTGTATCCCTCTGAGTTGATTGGTTGTAGTTCAAGAGCACATGTGTTGAGTTGGCAAGTGAACAGGCATCGAGCAGCAGAGCCAGGGCTGGAAATCGTAAAAAGATCAGATTTTGAAATTGAATTCAGAAGGAAATTTTTTAAAATCCTGTGTTAATTCAAAAGTTCAGATGAGCAACCTAATAACTTTCTGCACAAACGGAGTCTTGAAGAAATAGAGAAGAGCTAAATAGGCGGGAAACAAGAAAACGAAGGAAAAGGAGCATCCTTCTGCTTCTTAAAAGTGGCTTATGGCTATTTTCTTCGTCTTCTTCTTCTGTCTTTTCTTCTTCTTCTTCCTATATGGGTATGTGAGAAAAAAGTGACAAACGACAGAAGAAGAGAAGACAAAGTGATTTCCGAGAGCATAAACACCCAACACACGACACCCCTATAATTCTCTTTTGTTCACTAGCTTCTTCTTCTTTCTAGGAACTTTTCTTCTTTGGAATTTTAAATTTTCAATAGATACAAAGGTTGGAGTGGTCTGGGAATACGTTTCTACTATGAAGTTCACCCAAACCGGCAACTTTCAGCTCAATTATCTCAATTTCTGTTAAAATATCAAAAAGTTGACAATTGATAAATTATACATCATAATATCACCAATATTCCATCAGTTGACAACTTTTTAATATCTTCAACAGGAACCGAGATAATTGAGCTCAAACTTGACTGTTCGGATAGGCTTCTATTCGATGAAATACGGAAGCACCATAGACGCGGCAAACAGGCTGGTCTTTTTTTTCAAACTCACGAAGAAGCAGCTATGATACATTTGAAGAAGACATCTCCACGCAATTTCAGACTTCCGTCCATTTCGAATTTCGATGCATCTTTGAGGGTTCTGAAATTTTCAGTTTTTGAACTTTTTCAATTTTTTTTGTCACTTACACTGTCTTTGACTGGTATACAGGCACAAGTCGCTCGTAAATTTTGAGAAACACATTGATCGGTTCGAAAAAGTTAAGGATGATATAATGTAGGAACAGGGGTTCAGCGTTGACGGAAATTCGACCAGATAGGAGGGAAGAAAAGTAGCCAAGGTATCTGAAAATAATTGGAATTGGTTTCTGACTGGAAACTGACAACAGAAGCCCACCCAGGCCATAAAATTTCAGCTGATTTCTCTCGGTTTCTATGAGAGATATCAAAAACTTGTCAACGGATAAAATTTTGGTGATAATCTGTTAAACAATTTATTAGTTGACATATTTTTGATATCTTTCATAGAAAGTGAGAAAATTAAAATAGCACAGGGCGGCGTTTTGCAGTGGTTGCTACCGTGGTTGCGACCGCGTAGCTCAATTATCTCGGTTCCTGTGAAAGACCTCAAAAATTTTTCAATTGATGAAATATTGCTGATATTATGATGACCATTTTATTGGTTGAACATTTGTTGGTATCTTTAAAATAAACCAAGATAATTGAGCTTAAAGGGCGGGCTTCTATCTGAGTATGAGAGCCAGGTACGGTATCTAGTTTTCTGTGAGTAAAATGAAATAATATCAAAAAACATGGTGATATTTGATAGCTTTGATACTTCCCACTAAAATAAAAATATCTAAAATATTACCTTTTATAGCTGGGTGGTCCATCCGGCCCAAGAAATCTCTCTGAAAACCTCTGCATACTAAATCGATCTTCCACTGAGTCGTCTCTAAAACTTCATTGTCTTCTGATAACCTCCTAGAACAAAAAACTTACGTGGCAGAAATAGCATTATACCGCATGAAGGCGTTCACAACGACTGCACATCTTTCTAGGCCTCCCTAAAATTTTTTAATGAGCTGCTTAATTGAAAAATGACCAATTACCTTGCAAAAGATAACAGCGACGTTTAACGGATGTTCCAACATCCACTGATCCAGATTCTTGCAAATCGTGCACAATTTCTCAAGTGGTGGAGCAGTTTCTGATGGCCATCCGAATGCGATCGCGTCCAGGGAAGAGCTGATGTCGTGACGTCGTTGGGAGACGTTCCAAACCTGGAATTTATCAAATAATTTGTGTTTTTAATAGATTTTTAAAATTTTGAATTGTTTTATGATTGCTGGTTCTGATCTAATTGAAAGCTTCTACCGTATCCCCTCTAATAGAAGCCCACCCAAACTTTACGCTCAATTATCTCGTTTCATGTGAAAGATACAAAAAAGTAGTCAACTTATGAAATGTTTATCATAATAACACCAATATTTTATCAGTTTACAACTTTTTGATATCTTTCACAGGAACCTAGATAATTGAGCTCAAAGTTGACGGTTCGGGAGGCCTTCTAATGAAGGAAATGCAGTATTTCGGTTTCAATAAAACATATCAAAAATTTAGGACTATTTCAAAAATGTTCAGGTTTCTTTTCGAAATCAAAAATCTTCCAATTTTTGAGATTTTCATAGATTTTAGAATTTTTCAGATGTTGATTTTAAGAATCCTAAAAATTGATAAAATTGGAAAAAAAATCAGAATTTCAAAAAACTCTGGAATATTCTGAAAATTCATAGAATCGCAATTTTTTCAAATTATGAGTTTTTGCATTCGAAATTCTAAGATTTTTCCTTATTTTATTAATTTTAAAATTTTGCGATTTCATGATTTTTTAAAAATTTCAGGAAGTTTTTTTTTTATCTGAGGATTTGCGATTTTTAGAACTTTTAGAATTCTTCTAGTTTTCACAGGGATATAAATAATTAATGTTCATTAAAGTCAAATGATATGGAAACACGCTCTATTGCAACCAGCTCAATTAAAAAAAATATTGCGATAGAGCACTGTTTCTCTAGTACTCACTTTAATATGTTTCCCATGTGCCTTCTGAACCTGCTGTGCGGCTGGCAACAGGGATTCCACAAATTTCCGTTCACTGGTTTCAGCCGTACATGACATAATAATGAGTCGAGAAGTCACATATTCCACTTGTACTCCTTCTTTTCGATCTTTCATTTTTTGTTTCTGAAATTACCGCACCAATTCTCCCCCAATATACCCTCTAATAGAAGGTCACCCAAACCATCAAATTTGAGCCCATATATCTCGGTACCTAAAAAAGGTATGAACAAGTGGTTAACTGACAAAATGTTTTTGATATTATGATAAACATTTTATCAGTTGGCCAATGTTTTATATCTCTTACAGGATCCGAGATATATGAGCTCAAAGTTTGGGTGGCCTTCTATTAGATTGTTAACGGTAAGTCATTATGGGAGAAAAATAAAGAATCAAAGTTTCTAAACCTAAAAAAACGTTTTTCTTCAAACAAAAAAAATGAAAGAGAGTTTATGTGACAAACTGGTGAGAAAAAGCAAAAAAGAAAAAGATACTCTTTTTCGTTTTCTCTATTTTTTCCTCCAAAATTTGACACATTTATCTTTTGATTCTTCTTCTTCTTCTTCTTTTTCTTCTACTTGTTCTTATTTTCTTATTCTTGCTCTTTTTTTTGCATAAGTGCAATCTCGCTCTATTGATAATAACAAAAAATTGGAATTTATAAAAGAGCGAAAATGTCAAAAAAGAAACTGAAAGAAACAAAAAAGGAGAAGAAGAAGCAAGAATGAGAAAAATAAAAGAATCTATCAGAAAATTGAATTAGTGAGCTTGCTCCCAAGAAAATGGGAAAGGAAAAAAATGGGAATGGGACGAAAAAAACCAAAGTTAGAGGGAACGGAAATGGGAAACTTATGTTCAGAAAAGAAGAGAACGCCTTTTCCGTCGTCTTATTCTCTTTTGGGAATACCCAATCGAAAGAAAAAAAGAAGAAAAAAAAGAAGGCAAATCGTAATTCATGGGCTCCCATTTCCCATGTTTCACTGATTTATTTCTTTCTCTACTTCTTCCTCTTCTTTTCCTCTCCCTTCTTCTTTTCACGAAAAACGCACTTTTTTCAACAAAAATTGAAAAGAGAAGAGATGTGCCGCCATAGCTCAGTCGGTTAGAGCGTGGGTCTAATAAGCCCAAGGTCGCAGGTTCGACCCCTGCTGGCGGCAAATCTTTTTTTGCATTTTTTTTGCATGACTTCGTATTGATTTTGAACAAAAAAATGAGGTTACATGAGAATGAATGAAAAAGAGACAGATAAACGGTGATAAATGCGTGGTGAAGGTTAACTGCAAATCCTGTTTTTTTCACAGAAAACGAAGAAGAAGATAGAAGGGTGACAAGATTATTTATGGGTTCTGGGCAATAAAAAGGTGATATAAAGACATACCAGCCGTAGTTGGTCCTCACTGATTGTGTATACCTCGTAGCCAGCTTCATTGTTGGATTTTTTCTGAAAAAAACGAAAGACTTCGAAGATGAGATACCGTAAAAATTCTGGAGAAAGCCACTCAAAAATTTTGAACCAGTATATCTCGGTTTCTGTAGAAGATATCAAAAAGTGTTCAACTGATAAAATATTGGTGATTATATGAAAAACATTTTGTCAGTTGATTACTTCTTGATATCTCTAGCAGAAACTGAAATATGTGGGCTGAAAGTTGGTGGTTTGGGTGGCCTTTTATTGTGTATTACGGTAACTTCGTAAAATTATCGCTCTCTTAATTGTCCTAATTATAGAAACGGTATTCATCAGATGTCCTTTTGCTACAGTACTTCTAATTCGCGGACACCTATCCTTTTCAGATTTTCTATACAGTTCCTAGGCGCCAAACATCAATCGTCAAATCGTAACTCGTGAATACTCGTTCCCAGGAGCACCCTTTTTCAGAGAAACATAACTGAAGAAAAGACAGGTGGAACACCCATTTATAACGCCTCCTAGTCTCCCCAGTCTCCCGTGCGCATATGGCACAGTGCCAAGACAGTTGTCTGGCAATCTGAGGATCTCTGGTTCGATCCTCGGCATAGAAATGGAGCGTTAAATGAAGAAATACCATCCTTGCTCTGCGATGGCCGTCAAACATACACTTGAGAATTCTGTGTGAGGGTACTGTAGCATCGGGTTACTGTACACCAATCCAGACGATTCTCAGGTGGTTTGACGCCGGTGAACAGCTATGGCCTCTGATAACGCCTTTTTTGGGATTTTTTAGGGCTATCTCTAGTGTCAATCTCTCAATGGTATTACCGTATTTCCTCTAATAGAAGGCCATACAAGTGGTCAACTTTGAGCTCAATTATCTCGATTGCTGGGGAAGATATCAAAAATTTGTCAACTGATAAAACCTTGCTGATATTAAGAGAAATAACTTACAGTTGACAACATTTTGATATCTTTCACAGGAATCGAGACATATGGGCTCAAAAATTAACGGTACCTCCAAACCCCACGTCTTCTGATTCACCTTCCCTCTATTCTAAACCTTTCTTCTCCCATTTTTGTGTCCTTTTCTCCGTTTTTCCAATCAAATGTACATTTATTCCATTTATTCGTCTCTCTCTCTCTTTTTTCAATGAAAACGAACCGAATAGGCCCCCGTGTTTGTAGTATCTATGAAGGTGAAGCAAAAAAAAGAACTACAGAGAAGCGTGTCGGAATAGAAGAAGAAGAAGAAGGAAAGTGTCTACTTTTGCCCGTTTTATATATGAAATGAAATGATCTTTTTATGGTGGAAAAGAATCATAAAGTCGTTTTTGATATTCTGAGATACTGTAGGTTTGGGTGTGGCAGACTTCTAGAGATTTCTAGAAACTACCATTGTCAGGTTTGAGCTCAATTATCTTGATTCCTGTGAAAGATATCGAAAATGTGTCAACTAATAAAAGATTTTACCTTAATATGAGCAATATTTTATTAATTGACAATTTTTTTATCTTTCACAGGAATTGAGGTAATTGAGCTCAAAGTTGATGGTTGAGTGTTTCTTAAGAAACCAAAAACCTCTAGTTTCTATTTTAGTGTTTCTTTTGAAAATTCCAGTAAAAGTCAAACAATTACTTCCGTAACACCTGGTAATCCGAGTTCTAAGCCATTGTACCGATTTCTCAAATTCTCTCATTCTCCCATACTCTTTAATTCTCTCCCCACAGTAGTTTGGGAATAAGAAGCAAGAGGCATAAGCCTGTTTGGAAGAAGAAGGAGTTGGCTCATCTCACTCTATTTATTTATGTGTGTCCCTCCTCCACTAAAAACAGTACTCCCGGTCGGTTGGTGCCGCCCGTTTACCTTTTCTCTGCCACTCTCACCGTTTCTCACACTCTCTCGCCGCTTTTTCCGGGGGCTCGGGGAATTTCTGAGACTTCCAAATAGTGGACACGGCTTGAAACAATCGTGATTTCTCTTTTCTTGAGAAGGCGAGAGAGAAGAGACCCAGAAATTTTAAGAAAATCTCTGCATGTGGAATATTAGATAGTGAGAGAGAGAGAGAGAGGAGATAAAGGAAAAATTAATTGGTAGATGAAGAATCACAAATGGTTGTAATACCAGGCGGAAATTAGAAAAAAGGGATTCGCCCTTTTTTCTGTGATGAGTGATTCTAATCTAATTAATTACATAAGAAGGAGAAAAGAGGAAAGTGTACTTTTTCGGAAAGTGCTAATTTTTACAAGGAGAATCTGAAGCCGAAAAATCAAACATTTGAAATTTCAATTCCGGGGCAAATCGACAAGCATTCTCAGGTACCCCAAAAAATGGTACCTTTTTCGAAAATTTCAAATTTCGGGGCAAAATCTGAAATTCGAGGAGAAAAATCTGAATTTGGGGGTTTTTTAGGTCAAAAACTTTTTTAAAAAGTTGTTTTTTTCGGGAAATTTCTGGATTTTTCTGAAATTTCCCCAACGTTTTTTGCTGTGAAAAATCCATTTTTTCTAGAATTTTCAGCTTTATACATGAACTTGTAAAGCCAAAAATAGAAATTTTTGATGTAAAAAAATTTTCAGCTGAATGAAAAACCTGTATTAGAAAATCCTTTTTCTTCCAGTAATTAAATTTTTTTACGAATTTTGAAAAATCGGGAAATCTAATTGAAAATAATTCCGATTTTTGAAATTCGAAAAATCCGAAGCCAAGACTTTATCTGTACTCTAGCAGAAATTGTGAGGATTACTGTAGCTTTTTTTCTTTGATTTTTCCGAAAAATCAAATTTTTAAAATCTTACTGTAGGGCACTAAACACAATCACTCTTCAAAAAAACCAAAACTTTCCAAAGAGGATTGTAAAGTGAAAATGAGGTCAATCTATTGGAACCAGATGTTCGCGAAAAAATATTTTAAAGAATTTTCGAAAAAACGAACCCTAGACGTGCAACAAAGCGCTGTGGCGGCCATAATTTTCCCAGTGATGATCTGTAAAATCCAGGGAGATTGGCGGGTGATTTGAAAAGTTGTTCGAAAAAAAATAGCTTCTGGTAAACTGTTTTTGTCCCTCTCTATCTCGTGTGCCGCGCAAACATTCTTGATAGGCAGAGAGAATTAGAGAGAGAAAGAAAATCGGGTGGAACTGCTGCTGGCGGAAAAATGGGCGGAGCCTAATCGGGTAGAAGAAAGGAGTGGTCAAACAGAGGAATAGAAAAGTTAATGGGACGGATAATCAATTTTTCGGATGATTATTTTCTGTGTGTCTTGGTGTCCGGGTGTCATACGGAAATCGAGGAGATGAAATTCTGAAAATCTTGAAAACTGTTGGCCTTAATCATAAAAAATATTTTGAATCATATTTTCATTGAAAAAATAAATATTAGAATGTCCAAGAAAGAATTTTTACAGAAGATATAAAATTGCTCATTGATAATAGAGCTCGAAGTTGAATCCCTCGTGAATTTCGTAATCCATCAGAGTGATGTGGTCCTTGTAGATTGTGTACCACTTTTTCAGAACGATTTTCTCCCACCTGAAATGAAATCGGTCAAAATGACAATTAAAGTTTTTTTTGAGTTTATGGAAAATTAATCTAGAAATCGAAAACTAAATTTTTAGAAAAAAAATCGAAGGAGTTGTTCCGCTTTAATTTTTCCGATTAAACAATTTTTCAAGAAAAACATAGAGAATTTCTTTATATTTGCAACGAAAAACACCTTCAAAATTTCTCGAACAAATTTAAGCTCAAATGGTCCCTAATTTTTAATATTTTTCAAAGATTAAGAAATAATTACCTTGTACCAGTTTGTGCAGCGATCAATTTCTTCAAATCTCCAATAGTATCGGACGGATTGCACTTGATTCGCACCTTCTTTCCGAGACGATCATTCACTGTGATTTCGATCATTTTTCTTGAAAAAAAAAATAATCTAATGAAAATTTAGTTTAGTTGAGCTCAAAAAGATTTTCGAAAACAAGGTTTCTTTTCGCATTTTTATTCGAAAGCACACCGCCACATCAGAATGCAGACAACACCGCGACGCACAATTGCACACACAAAAAGTTGTACAATTTCATCCAACTATTTAAGTTATTGATTTACCGTTAAAAAGTAGCTTGTTTTTTAGGTTATTACATAATTTTCAAGCCTCCAAAAATGGCTAAATCCAAAACCAAAGCGTAATTGCGCGTAACTGAATGGACCAATTGACTTGAAATTTTCAGGGTAGCCTAATTGGGTACCCTGAATCGTAAAATAATCTAAAAAATTCGATTACTGATTCTTTAAACAAAGTTGTTTTTCGACAGGCGTAGCGGGAGCGAATCCCCGTCCCGCTCTCTGGGGCGGGGGCGAATCCCCGCCCCGCGCACTCGGGGCGGGGGCGAATCCCCGCCCCGTTGCCAACCCTAATTGCCAGTTTGTTTGAGAAGGTTGAAAAATACCGTACTCTCTAAAGCGCATCACTAAAAACTTTGCGTTGGGTCTCGAGCAGAAAAAATATATATGTTTAGCCATTTCTTCCGTATCAAATTGGACTTTTCAGAAGAATTCCAGATGAAACGAAAAGTCACACATGACACGAGAATGGTGTTTTCCGGTTAGTTTCAGTGACATAAATGATCTATTTATAGCATTGTTATTCAGACTCAGATGTCAAGACCGAAGTGACTGAAGCTGAAACTCCTGTACGAAAGAAAGCGAGACGCTTCTTACTGTTGCGACTTTTTGCTTGGTCGAACATAGCCAGGAGGTCCGAAAAACTTCTGAAAATTTTGTTCTACTGAATTCCAGTGAAATTCATCAAAAATTGCCCTTTTTGGGGGACTCCCTGGTTTTCTTTTCTTCGAAGGATCAGTCACTTTGGTTTTGGATTTAGCCATTTTTGGAGGCCTGGAAATTATGTAATAACCTAAAAAACAAGCTACTTTTTAACGGGAAATCAATACATTAAATAGTTGGATGAAATTGTACAACTTTTTGTGTGTGCAATTGTGCGTCGCGGAGTTGTCTTCATTCTGATGTGGGAATGCAAATTTTAAGACAAAGCGTAGGAGGTGATAGAAGTAAACTTCCGCTTCTTCGTTTGATCGATTTCCGTGTGATCCGGTGAAGAATGAAGAAAGTCTTTTTCTAGCTTTTCTGCTTACTGAAAATTGAGCTATTAATAGATCTACAGCAACACATCATACGGCAAAAAAGCTACACATTTTACAAATGCTTACATTGAATGGAAAGTTTTTTTCAGATTAGATTCATTCATCCTTCTTTTCAATGGTCCTTTTTGAACGAAGTTTCGAATGTACTTCATGCAAACATTTTCAACACCTTTGAAAATGACAAATTGTTCCGTCCGGAGAACCGTTTCCAACAAATTCTGCAGCAATATGCCGAGCCTTTCATCGCAACGTCCTAGAGATTTCTCCTTCCGAATCTCCACCGATTCGATAGTTTTCCTGGAAAAATGGCTGAATTGTTTTGGCAATTTTTTTTAATGAGATTTACCACAAGCCATCATCCTTTAAAGTTTCTATCATATGTTGTTGAACTGACAAGAGCCAATTAGTGAGGAATCTTTTCCCCCCTTTCGAGAGATCATTGATCAGATCCTCTTCTAGAACAAACTTCAAGAGCTGTGATTTCTCCGCTCGAGTTAGAGTAATCCACAGAGAAAGTGATTCGTTACGTTCCAAATACATTGATGGCGCGCCCAACGGGATAGCAGAATAGAGATCCATTGAGATGGTACCGGAAGTAGAACTAGATGTAACATGTGTTGGAAATGGAAATCTTTGAAGTTTTTCATCGTGTTCCTCGACGACCTTCTCCGACGTAGATTTTTGATTACAAATTCCTTCCTCCTCAAGCTCTCCATCATAAAAAACTAAGACTTCCCGAATCGAATTTGAACAGATGTCGTAATGTGTTGGATGCGAATTTCAAGACAAAACGTCGAATATTATAGTAGCAAACTACCAATTCACTTTTTTGCCTTGATACGGGGAAGAATGAAGATAATTTACTGTTAGCTGTTTTGTCTACTGAAAATTGAATAATTAAGGGAAATATTTATGGCAACATCATTTGATTGAACAAACACTTACATGAAGTGAAAACCCTCATTAACACAACCTCATCGACTTCTTTTTTCAGCTTCCTATTTTTAACAAAGCTGCTGATAAAAGTGAGCCACGATGATTTTCTTTCCAAAATGGCAAATCTTTGTGTATTGAAAACAGTTTTCAAAATTCCCCGCAGGAAAAAACGGAGTCTCTTATCGGAACGTATTATAGTTTGCTGGCATTTAACCTTCATCGATTCGATCGTTTTTCTGGAAAAATTAGCTCAAGTGTTTTCTGGCAGAATTTTTCATGGAATTTACCTCAAATCATCATTTTTCAGCATTTCAATCATTTTTTGTTGGGCCGAAGAAAGCCAATCGGTGAGGAACACTTTTAATCGCTGAGGGAGAATCTTTATCAGCTCATCTTCCAGAAAAAAGTCCAAGAGCTGCGATTGATCCGCTCGGGGTAGAGTAATCCACAGAGAAGGGGATTGGTTACGCTCCAAATACATTGATGACGCGCCCAACGGAATCACAGAAGTGAGATAGATTGATGAAGAATCATTTTCACTTTTTTTGGCCTTTTTTCGTTTATTTGTTATCTTCCTCTTTTTCGCTGGAGTTTCAGCTTCAGTCACTTCGGTCTTGACATCTGAGTCTAAATAACGATTTTATGAAAACAGCATTTTCGTTTAAATATACCGGAATACGCCGTTCTCGTGCGATGTGTGACTTTTCGTTTCATCTGGAATTCTTCTGAAAATTCAATTTGATATGGAATACGAGTTATTCAACGTAGCTGGTAAAATTGCAAAAAATAATTCAATACAAATCTGTTCAAACTTCAATATGAGAAAAAGAGAATTCAAGAAATATCACAACTTTTAGTAACTTCAGATTTTTCCGTAATTTTGGGAATGAAAATCAAAACAAAAAGAAATAACTGACAGTATTTTTCTGCTCGAGACCCAACTCAAAGATTTTACTGATGCGCCTTAGAGAATACGGTGTTTTGAGTTTCAAGGGGGACTCCGACCAGAAATTTTTATTGCATTAAAATGTGTTAGAAGTTATCTATTTTCCGAATATTATTGCGAAAAAATTCAAAAAAAATGCCAAATTCCCAAAAAACGCCGTTGAAAAGGAAGAAAATTCAAAAAATGTGCCGCCGGGGGAAGAGGATTTTCAGTGAGAAACCTAGGCCACGACAGCGGGCGCTTTTCCTACGTGGTAAATTTTCCGGATTTTTTTCAATTTCATGTCCGGCAGGTAAAAAACGTAAAAAACCACTGTCGGCGACTTGAAAAAAAGGCTGTCAGGTGCCGTGGCCTAGGTTTCTCACTGAAAATCCTCGTCCCCCGGCGGCACCTTTTTTTGAATTTTCTTCCTTTTCAACGCCGTTTTTCGGGGATTTCGGATTTTCTTTGAATTTTTTCGCAATAATATTTGAAAAATAGATAAATTTTAACACATTTTAATGCATTAAAAATTTCTGGTCGGAGTCCCCCTTTCAGCCTCCTTGAAAAGAATATTTTGGCATTTTTAATAGTTTTCTTTTTCAAATTTCTTGTTCATTAGGGAGAGAATACAGATTTTAAATGCAAAAACTGACAGTTCGGACAAAAAGAAGCAAGAGAAGATAGAGATTTGCACATTTTTCGAGAAACCGCAGCACCTTTTCAAAATGCTAAATAGACTTGTGGAAAGAGTTTTTGAAGGAAAACATTTCTAAAAACTTCAAAAATTTTTTGAAAATTTTTTTTTATCGTCATCGACTTTTCAAACCATTTTCCAAATACAAAGGCTTATCTCTACAATACTCTTTATTCGACAGCGGCATAAAAATGACGGCGGAGGCTTCCTTATCGGATAAAAAATGTATACAAACCGTCGTCAAAATTTAGACGACAAAAATTTTTAGAAGTGTGTAATTCTACAGTTAGAAAGATTAAAGAAGAGTTTAGGGAATAATATCACATAATAAAAGGGGGGCTTTTGACGAGAATTGGAATGGTTTCGGAAGAGTTTGGGACGTTCATATAAGTGGTTTAGGCGGCGAACTGTCCGTGGAGCTTCTTTTGCAGAGTCAAGTTGTGGTGGAGCTCTGGCTTAATGTCACAAACGAGTTGGAGGAGACGGACAATGACCTGAAAGCGAGATTAATTCGAAATGAAACGGGAAAGGGATAAAAATCGGATTAAGAGATTTTAAATGTTTTTTGAAGACCTTAAATAGAAAAAACATACCGCTTGCTTGTTGGAGGCAACCGATTGCTTCATTCCGTTGATTTGATCTTCAGTGTCGCGACGAATCTTGCTCTCAATGTCTTCCTTGGTTCCGAGATATTGTTGTTCGAATCCCTTGAACTCTTGCTCGCGTTGCTGCAATTTAACTGCTACTTTTTTCTCTACTAAACCAAAAAAAAATACCTGCTTGTACTTCTCAACTTCGGCTTGAGCCTCCTGCTTGGCTTGCTTCGTTCTCTGCAACTTTCTCTTTCTAGCCTCGTTGATCTTCTCGGCGGCGCGCTTCTCAGCGGCAAGAAGCTGCTGAATTCCCTGGGTTTGCGAGGCCATTTCGGAAAAGGTTTAGGTTCTGAAATTAAGATACTCTTTTATTTCTTCTTTCAAATAATGCGAAGATATATCGGAAGACGGTTGAGATATGACAACTAAGCTTACAACAACTTTAAGACAAAGAACTTTAAAAATTCCAGAAAAACCAGTATTTAATTCTATACTTTTTTGCATAAATCAACTATTGTAAGAAAAAATAAATAAGCACACGAATTTTACATGAAAGAATTGGGAAGAGTGGGGAACATTCAGGTCAAAAAACACCCGTTGAAAAAAGGCGAAACATAATGGAAATTTATCACAGGAAAAAAAATGGTTGAATTGCGAAGAATTGGATAAATGATTCGTGGAATTTCAGACAACTGTGTATGGTGACGATTTGACGACCGACAGCACACTCGGAACCTGAAAAGGGCGAAAATCAGTGAGAACAGAGTCATCGAGTGGTCTTTGGTTTGAGAGACCGCAGACACCACACTTGCAGAAGAGGCATCGGATTTTACGCGCAAAGCTAGACTTGAAGTTTGCAAAGAAAGAGACGAATTTTGTCTATTAGAAAAGAGAGCATGAATAAAGAAGATTTTTACTCAAAAAACACTGCTTCCCACTATAAGTTTTCCATAAATTTTTTCAGACGTTACCTTAAAAACCACAGCTTCCTGACTGTCGTTCTCAAAAATGGCTTCAACACTCAAATTCGGTCCTCCTATGTCATAAACCGCTGCATGTGTGATTTTCCAATTCAGTTCCACAACAGCAACGGCACCCGGTTGCACATGGCACTTCCGTATCGGGCGATCTAACCACATCTGCTGACGACATTCTGGAGCAACGAGATGAACACCGTCGACGGCTTCTCGGACTTTAGGCGAATTCTTGATAGTGACATTGACGGCGCGACGATCAGGATGCTTGTTCTGGATGCGAATCGTGATGGGAATTTGGCAGACTCGCGATTCGATGAAGTTGTGAGAGATGTCTTTGGCACTGGTTTCGCATGTGATTTGAAGGGCTGGAAAGGAAAAAAAAAGTTGAGAGTGAAAGTGGTATTTAGCAAAAGTTCCGTTGTTGTGAGCTTGTTTCAGCCACTTTGAACATTCCTCGTGGCGCAATATGTTTATATGTTCAAGAACAGTTAATCGTTTCAGTGTGTCTGAATGACTCAGTGCCAAACTGTTAGCTGGCAAGCTGACCTTTGCGAGTTCGAATCCCCTAGATGCTATAACATTACATGAAGATACCAAACCTTTACTCTGATGTCCTATGATCATAAAGTTTATAAACTGATCTGATAATGCCTTTTTTTCAGAGAATTCCGATTTTTAAACTGAAAAAAGTACTTCTTCCTAGGAGCATACTTTCCCAGAAGACATAACTGAACAAAAGACATCTGTGACCCATTTATAACGCCTCCTAGTCTCCCCAGCCTCCCGTGCGCATATGGTGGCACAGTGACAAGACAGTTGTCTGGCAATCTGAGGATCTCTGGTTCGATCCCAGGCATAGAATTGGAGCGTTAAATGAAGAAATACCATCCTTGCTCTGCGATGGCCGTCGAACACATACACTTGAGAATTCTGAGTGAGGGTACTGTAGCATCGGGTTACTGTACACCAATCCAGACGATTCTCAGGTGGTTCGACGCCGGTGAACAGCTATGGCCTCTGATAACGCCTTTTTTCGGATTTTTAGCTTTGTTTAAATTTAGCTAGTATTCTGCTCGAAATTCCACGACATCTCTCACAAACCTCCTAAATTATCAGCTGACGCTTCGGCAGCTTTCCGTGCGAATGGGTCATCGAGAAATGATTCGCCGATGAAGGAAGTTACCTGAAATCATTAGAATTTCTAAAATTTTCTTCTGTTAGCTCTCACCATTCCCTCATTATTGACAATATTCGCTTTCCAAAGCACTCCAATCTTTTCTGGCACACGAATCAATGAATCATCATCCATATTGGAAACGATTTCAGCTGGACACGGCCATTTAGGCGCCATCTGATTGGTTGTGCCTGACAACCAAACTTGTTCAGATGGAGAAGGACTGGGAACAAGACGAGCGACTATGGTATCTGTCTGTTCGGATTCAACCTCTACTTTTCGTGAGACCGACGCTAGTTGGATTGATTTAGGAACCTCCGCTTCTGCGGATTTTGCAGAGGAAATCTCATTTTTTGTAGTTCGAATCCTCAGAATTTCCACTCTCGACAATGCGGCTTGACTAGAAACTACACAATTTTTGAGGTGAATCGCAAAACATCCAGAATCGGCGTCGAGAATTTCGGAAGTCAACTGAATCAAACGTCTACGTTCTCCATCGATTACACGTCTCCACTGACGCATCGTTCCAGAAGCACTACGATACGCAATGAGGATTACTGTAGATTGTGGAGTCACTACTGACCCGGAAGGCTCGTCACAGCTGCGAATGTCAAAGAAGATCCGTTTCTTCTGCCCGATATTCAAGTATGGTTCTTCAGGAGCAGGAGATTTGAATTGAAACGTGGCAACTTTTGAATTATTAGCAGCTAACTCCAATTTCAACTCCTCCATTTTGTCACTATCTTCTCCCAGATTTCCAGCAGCCACTCGATCGAATGCATTCGTTGCCAAGCACATAGTCATCACATCTTCCTGTCCAATATTCTCAATTTCCAACTGATACCGTTGCGCTTGATCACAATACGACCATTTGTGCGGTGCCTTTAGAGCACGGAATTCGATGAGAGGCCATGGCTTCTGAGCCACTGACGCAGAGAGACGCTCGTCGCTTGTGTAGACTTTTGATTTTTGCTGCTTGGCTGTCTTATTCAGTCTCTTCCCTCGACATTCCAACACTACTCTTGTTTCTACTGTTTTATCATCCACAGTCAATTGAAACATCAATCCATCCACTCGAAATTTCAAACATCCACTTCTAGGGAACACATACAACTCGATTGTTTTGGTTTCCTCAGGTTCCAAGTGTAGATGAGGTAGGGTACCGAGTTCGGGGACCAGCACACCAGCATCTTGAAACTGGGAATCTAAAACTGACAGCCTTACATTATGTAGGTCAATTGGAATTTTTAGTGGGTTTGTTAGATCAACCATCACTCGGAAACGTTCGTTGGCTGGTGTATCTCGAACTTTTTGATTATCCGAGTGCTCATCGGAGACCATTTGCATTCCACGAAACGGAGCACTGGCACCATAAAGTGCATGATGAGCAGCACGTTCTACAGTAATCCATCCATCAGGTGTAACACTTTGATGCTCATTCTCATCGATATCATTCCATAGTGGACGCTCTCCATAAATCACTTTTATTGTTTCCATCTCAACTTTTGGAATATTCAATGGTAAATCCGTTCTTTGTGGGAAATATGTCGTTAAAGCGTGTACCAGGACTTTCAGACGATCCGATTGTTGAGATGGTGGGAGCTTCGGACACACTGATACTAGACGTCGGATGCATTCTGAAGCGATTTCCTGTGTCATCACATTAGCCTTCTCGCCTTCTTGCAGAAGTCGGACTGCAAGATGCTCGTCAAGAACTCCCCAATGCTTTTGATCGAATGCGGGAAGAGCAAGACGATAGCAATCTGAAAAAAAAAACTATTGAATTATATATAACTTGTGAATGTGTCAGAAATCACTAACCAAAAGACAACGCGGGAATTCCAGCATTCGAGAATCGATTAGCGGCTAGTACTCGATGAAACGACGCTTTCCTCAACATTCCAGATTTCTCGTATTGCTCAGCTGCCAGTGTCTGTGCCACCGCAACCAAATGATCAGCATCTAGTGCACTGAGTTGGGATAGTGTGGCTGCTGCTTCCTTGTGCAGTCCGAGATCCGCATAAATCTCGGCCATATGGAAAGCACATCGAAGGACGGATGGGTACTTTCTGAATCTTATTGGGATGTGTTTTTGTGTTGTTTGAACAATGTTTATGTTTAGAAATAGGTTGCGGTAGCCGACCTGGAGGAAAACTAAAAAACAACTAGAATTTTGAACTCGAAAGGTTTCGAGCTTCAAAATGAGCCCGAACTCGACTAGGCTCCGACCACTTTGAAGGATTTCCCGGTGGGCGGAGCCTATAGTTATTTTGAAATTATTTTTATAGTTCATTAGTGTCCGCGTGACTACCTAATTCCGAGAAGATACGTGGAGACAGCTGGAGCCGCCGTGCCAGCTGTCAAGGAGTGCTGCTGCTCTCCTATTCCTATAGAAAACCGTACTTTGTAAGTTCTAATCGATATTCCCAAAAAAGAGAAGAAGTTGTGGTCAACATGAGCGAAGAAGACGATAAACCCGATAAACAAGTGGAAAGTGTTCGTTTGGATATCGGAGAAGAGGTGGCTGATAAGGATGGACGAATGGTATGGAGAGCGATCAGAGAGCTTGGGAAGGGAGCATTCGGAACAGTGTATCATGTTGTCAATAAAACTACGAAACAAGAAGCAGCACTTAAAGTAGGACCTATAATTCAGGAATTGAGAGGATTTAGGAGAGTTTTTTTCCAGATTGAACGAATGACAGCTGGTGACAATTTATTGAAAATTGAACGAGAAATAATGAAAGCAATGCAACCGGAAACTACGGCTATTCATATTTTCGACGATGGAATCTACAACGATTTCCGTTTCATCGTGATGACGTTGTGTGGTCCCGATTTGCAGAAGATCGCCGACTTGGTAATTTTATCCACTAGACACTACCTACTAAATGAAGTATTCCAGATGAACAACACGTTCAGTCCGGAAACCATAATCCGTGTCTGCATTCGAACACTTCTGGCAATCAAGACTCTTCACGAGTACGAGTACGTTCATCGAGATCTGAAGCCGTGCAATTTTGCGGTCGACTACAATACCAACTCACTTCACGTCTATTTGTTCGATTACGGAATGGCTAGAAAGTATGCGAGAAAAGAGAACAATCGTTGGTATCTGAGACGTCCCAGACAACCGGTTCGGGCTTTCTGAATATTGTCCTTACTACGATTGGAATCGTTTCAGGCGCAATTCCGTGGTACCATCAGATACTGTTCTCTGAACATGCACAAACGAAAAGAGCTCGGTCGAATCGACGATATATGGTCGTGGTTTTTCATGATGATGGAGATGCATAAGCCTCTTCCTTGGAACGCAACTACGAATCCCGATAAAGTAGAAGCATGGAAGGAGGTTCATCTCAAGGAATTCCTCGCCAAAGATCCATTCTTGAATCTATTCGACCCACTTATCGTCTACATGAATTCCGTCGAATACCCGGATCGGCCGGATTATGCCAAAATTTTCGGAATACTTCATGAGAAACTAAAAGAGTTGAATGGAAAACTGTCAGGACCTATGGAATATGACCCGGCTAGAATCAATGCACTTGTTGCGGAAACGGGGGAATCAGCAAGACCAAAAGAGGCATCAAAAATGGAAGACGAGACGGCGGTTATGGTATTCAAAAGTAAAATTAGGTCACTTCAAGTCTTGAATGTTCCAGAACTTTTTGTCGAATTCATTCCAAAAGGTTGTGGTTCCCGGTGGCCCTCATTTGATTCTAGGAGAGTATGTGGACTTTTTTGGGAATCTCGAACCGAAAAAGGCAAAAGAAGAGAAGACGGATGAGAACAAAAAGCATCATCATGTAATATTGTTCATCTTTCTTCATTTTCTGTACGTATTTTTTCAGAGACTCTCGGCTGCTCATGTGAAGAACAAGATGCTCGGAAAGCCGAAACAACCAGGTTCAGGACCTGGAAAGAAAGAGGGTCATTCGTCTATGAACTCTAGAGTGAGTCTTCAGAAGACTAAAACGAAGGGATCGAAGAAGTGAACGTTGCTTTATATCTTTTTCTCCAATAAACATTTTTCTCTTTTTTTTTAAATAAAAAACCCACTTTGCATGTTCAACGAGCAACTTGACTGGCGGATCCAGATATCGAATTGGAAATTGTTTCGCATTCAAGTGAGGCTGAGCACTATGCAAAGCCAATGCACACATTTCCAGAGCCATCGCGTGTGCTGCCATCGCTTTGTCTGCTTCTAAATCTTTCTTCAGTGGATGATACTGATCATAGGCGGCTCCAGGAAGACCGAACATCATGAAAAGATCGGCTAATCTCCTTTTCTGCATCTCCAGACTCTCCCACGAATAAGTGATTGGTGTTGCTAGATTATTCGACGAGCTTCCTGTCCGCAGCCATTTACTAAATCCCATTGTCACTGATGCAACCGATTTTGATATTGACTTTTTCTGTCCTGCATTCTCATAAAGCGTACGAATCTCCTGTTCGACATATGGAGCTAGACAGTTGCTCAAAAATCTGGATAACACTTTTTGAACGTTTTGAGCGTCTTGAGAAGATACGATTTTTGAACTAGACTTCCAAATAATCGGGTTGCTTTGAATAGCTGCTTGACTATTTGGTGAAACGGATCCAACCGACATTGAAGAGGAAATAGTGGAGACGAGAGACGTTGGAGAATTCAGAGGAGTGTTCTTGATACCCGGAGTGTTTGGAATGGAGTCACTGGAATGTTTGTGTGCCTCTTCTAGGCCTTTCTCTAGGATATCATTGAATTCATCGATTTCATTCCACACTCCATTCATATCAGGGGATACTGTAAGAAAATTCATTTGAACGACTTAAAAAGAGAAACTGTAATCACCACTATCTGAATCTAACTGCAGAACCTGACAATTATCATTGCCATATGTGGCACACATCTGCTTCAAAACCTCATCCCGTCGTTCGCTGCTTCCTCGCGGGCATCGTGAATCGTGAAGGAGAATATAGTGACGTGGCGTTTTGGCATGCGGCGCCGACCATTTCGGTGCAGAGCAATGACCTGGTATCATTAGTGTAGAGGTGCTATTCTGAATTTTGGAATGTTATAGAATTCGTTTCTTTTGAAGTGCCTTTAAAGTGCAACTTACATATAATGTCTGCTGAGTTTGAATCATTTTGCTCAATTCTCCCATTGGATTCTCGTCTTGTGTGGATACAACAAATATACATGCGAGGTAATGGCCGAAGGATTCGTGCTCCGATGGCTCCGCCCATCTCGATAACACATCGCGAAACAGTTTGATGGACTGCGTGACGTCTGTACAGTTTTTGAGAGCCTGTATGAGAACATAAGGAAGGACTGAAAGTGTCAGTAAATGCCCATCACTTCCGATATCTCGAATGTCCAACTGAATTTTATGTGATACTTTCGAATTCTCCACTGGTTCCCTGAGACTGCACTCGTGTGTTGTGAATGGATAGATGAGATGTGCTAATGATTTGAAGCCACGGTTCGTGGCATGCTTCTGACTACATGTTGAGGATATTAGAGCGATAAGTGGGCTCGGTGACATTCAATTGCCGACTGAAACGATAGACTTTGAGACGCTATTGAAGTTGAAGCAGTAGAAGATATTGGAAATGTCTAAAGAACATCAACTAAACCTACTAGAAGAGAGAAGAGCGAGAAATATAGGGTTCAAAAAAGTCTTTATGTACACAATAAAAGAAAAAAATATATCGATAATTGCTATTCTTACGCGGGCTGATAAAATAACCGTTATTATGTGTTCAAATATACATCACAAAAGAAGGATAGAAATATGAAGAAGCTTTAATACTGATTCGAGGGGTTCTATAGCTAAAAGTTTTCAAAGGTTAAACGCGTTGCTGTTGTCTGGCCAGATCTTCGGAGCTGACCATATTCGGACACTGAACGGAACATCGTTCATACACAACTCGCGACATCTCACGAGTCATTCGGATTATGCGGAATATGAATGTATTCGTGCCTGGAATTAGGTTTTGTGTCAATGGTCTTCAAAGCAAAAAAAAACCTACCATCTGGACCGGGAATCAGTCCGATTGCTGCAGGAATATCATAAGTAGGTCCACGTGTGGCGTACGAGTATCCTTCCTCATCAACTTCTCGCCAGATAATTGAGCAGATACTGTAAAATGAAAAATTCAAAACTTCATCTAAACTAGTTTTCCATACTCTGTCATATTCTTCCAACAAACTCCGCTAACTTGTCTGACCACTGTACCCAGATCAATCAATGGAGAAGTAATATGAAGACGTTCCAGCGATCTCTTTCCCTCTTTCCACTCCTGTATAAGTTTTGCAACACAATTCGAAGTGATGAATTCGCTGTGTAGACGGATATTATGAGCGGAGAGTGCATGCAATTGATGGTCTTTTATGTTGCTGATAAGAGACCAAAGAATCACACTTCTAGCATTTTTGACTTTTTCGATATCAAATACAGCCGTCTCCATGCCACCGTGATCGTTTGCCAAGAGGGATATATCCTGTCCCTTATTTTTCGTAGCTGAAAGTGCTTTGGTTACAAGACGATAGTCGTTGGTGCGAATGTTGAAACTGCGGACCGCGATGCTAGTTTTAATGCCTGCCATTCCTTCCTCCCAGATGCCCGAGAGACCTTCGAAGCATGGCTGGAAATTTGAATTTTGAGAATTGAGAATATTCGACGAAAACTAACAATTTCAATGATAATACTCTTGATTTTCGAATATCTCCAGATGCGCAAAAATGCTCTCATAGCTTCGGCAGTGTGCTCTGGACATTCGGTTTGGCGTCTGAAATTGACAAGTCAGTAAGGAATTTCGTAAATTCTGAGCTCACAAAGAAGTTCCACGAAATTCAACCATTCGACTCACAACCCGTCCTGCGTCGTTTTTCCACTTCATCATGAGCATCGTTTTCTGAAAACGGATTATTCAGAAAATAAGCTTGTTAATGAGGCGTTTTTACAACATACAGCTGTTGATGGAAGCTCCGTGATTCCCAACTCGTGAAGCTTGTTCGGCAGAAGTTTACACAAATCCGCAGTTTCCCAATTGACCAGTGTCATATTTTGTTTGTCCTGGAATTTAAAACAAATTCAAATGAACAAATTTCGCAATACTCACTGGAAATGGCAACCGAGCTAGAATATTGATACGAATCTCTGGTGGCAAATGTTTCCATCCGGCGACTTCTTCTAAAACTTTTTTGTTTCATAACGCTGTCGAAGTGAACGGAACGAACCTTCCAAATCCATCGCTTCATCATCGATACTGATTTTCGCCATTTTCTTTACTGTTAATGCGAACTGAACAGCGGAAAACAGACAAAAAAAACTTGGTTTGCGACACACAGCGCGGCGAAAAAGAAACGACGAGAAAAGAGAAAGAAGGGAGAGAGAGAGGAAGAGAGAGTACAGAGAAAATGAAAATTTAGAATGGAGAAAAGAGAAGAAGAATAAGAAGAAGACGACGAAATGTGTGTGTATATACGAGTTCGGGAGTAGGAAAGAGATAGAAAAGGCACAGCAAGCATTGTGTGAGAGAGGGAGAGAGAGAACCGACGTGGTGGCGAGAATCTACAATCAATTTTTGGAAAAAGTGGGAGAGACTGTGTGTACGATGACGTCATTTTACAGACAGTAAAAGTACAAATTAATGAAAAAAATGGGGAAACAGCTTCATAAGAGCTACCGTATTATTCTTATTTAAAGGCGCAGAACATGCTACGGTTTTTCACTATAGTGCACTATAAAATAAATGCATGCACCTTCAGAATTTTAGAATTTTAGAATTTTAGAATTTTAGAATTTTAGAATTTTAGAATTTTAGAATTTTAGAATTTTAGAATTTTAGAATTTTAGAATTTTAGAATTTTAGAATTTTAGAATTTTAGTATTTTAGAATTTTAGAATTTTAGAATTTTAGAATTTTAGAATTTTAGAATTTTAGAATTTTAGAATTTTAGAATTTTAGAATTTTAGAATTTTAGAATTTTAGAATTTTAGAATTTTAGAATTTTAGAATTTTAGAATTTTAGAATTTTAGAATTTTAGAATTTTAGAATTTTAGAATTTTAGACTTTTAGAATTTTAGACTTTTAGAATTTTAGACTTTTAGAATTTTTTAGAATTTCAGAATTTTAGAATTTTAGAATTTTAGAATTTTAGACTTTTAGAATTTTAGACTTTTAGAATTTTTTAGAATTTCAGAATTTTAGAATTTTAGAATTTTGGAATTTTGGAATTTTGGAATTTTAGAATTTTAGAATTTTAGATTTTCAGAATTTTAGAATTTTAGAGTTTTAGAATTGTAGAATTTTCATCTCTAGAATTCTAGAATTTTAAATATTGAAACTTTCAATTTGAAAGTATCATTTTAAATGTGTTACTGTAGAAAGTATAAGAAAAAGAAACAACAGTTGTTTAAAAAAAAGAAAGAAAGAATTATCTGAAAAAGGAATGAATAATCTATTGCAAATAGATATGACTCATCGATAGCCTTCGATTCGAAGGGCTTTTCGATTTCGCTGATCGCCGGTCACCCGTTTCTTGTCAAGGAATCCTTGATAAGGCCGCGCGGAACGATCCAAATCTAATTCATTGATTTCTATTGTACTATGACTTATCTTATTCTTCTTCTTCCCTTACTAGCTCTTGTCTCAGCAGAAAGGTTTATTAGGTTTCGAGTCCCTCCAAAACTGTTGACTATTTAGATGTCCCCCGGTTTTCGGTGACTATGAATGTCCCACCGGATTCACATGTGAAGAAAAACAATGTATTGGTAGAAATAAGTCTCCATCGACTTCCTGTACCTTTGATGTCGAGTGTCGTGAAGGATTCGTTTGTTCTGAGGGAAAGTGCTACCCAATCACCTCTGTCAAATGTAATCGTCACGTTTTGATAGCCGAAGGTTCGGCTAGAAGTGTTGTATCGGATTGTGGAAGGCGTGGAAAGTGTGCGAACGGACAATGTGTTCTAGATAGTTAGTTCTATTTGTGGAACTATTAACTTTTGTTTTTTTAAGGATGCCAAGGTGTTTCATGTGACGAAGGGGCACTTTGTAGAGATGGCAAGTGCGAGAAGGTACTCGATTCTTTCTGCATTGGACACGCAGATTGTGGACCGAATATGTTGTGTCAGCAGAATAAGTGCCAGTTGAAGTATAACGGTTTAAAAAAAAATGACCTAGAATTTAAATTCCAGACCACAAGAAGCGCTATGTAACTGTCAACCACATGAGATTTGTCATCATGGGCAATGCTACCCAAATACACGTAGGTCTTAAGCTTAAGCGTAGTTTTTGGGAAATTAGGTCGCAAAAATTGGTTTTTTTTTGTAATGTAGCTTGCAAAATAATATTCAGATTCTAGCCGCTGCTCAAATTTCCCAAATTCTCCCATTTACGATTTTCTTGGAAAACTAAATTTTCTACAGAATGCACATCAATCTACTGCGAGCCAGGTACCTATTGTGTAGAAGGACAATGTTTGAGTGGTAAGAATTCGAAAATTCTCTGATTTTTAATTTATTTTCGGAATTAAAGAATTTTCAATTTTTTAAAAAGAGTTTTAGGATTTTTACATTTTTCAGAATTTTTAATTTTTCGAAATTTAAAACTTTTTCAAAAGGGCTCAGGAAACTACCAGAAATGTTACTACAGGTCTCGTAACGAAACCTACAGTAGTCCGAGAAAAATTGAAATTTTCTTTTTTCCATTTTTTTGGTTTTCTTTTTCAAAATATAGTTTTCTAGCCGTCGGCAAAACGTGCCAAGACGATACTTGCCATGGTGGTACCGTATGCGTAAACGGTGTGTGCGTTGCGAATCCGTGCCCCGGAAGATGTCCACATGATCAGGATTGTCGACTCGGAGAGTGTAGATAATGGAGGGAGTACCGTGCATTGGGGAGTGTCGACATCCGTTCATTTGTGTTGACGGGCGGTGCAGAAGAAATGGTAAGAGCAGAAAAAACACTAACTTCTCCAACTGTTTTCAATTCTTGCAGACTGTGCTCGTAAAGTATGCCAAATCGGTGAATCATGTGAGGGAGGCAACTGCGTTCGTGTTGCTGATCGTTTCTGCACGCTGGCGATTCGAGATTGTGGAGAACATTTTACTTGTCAGGAGAACAAGTGTATTGATCAGATGACAGTTTTAAAAGGATAATTAAATTTTAAAAAATGTTTTTATCTCTAATAAACTTTTATTAAAATTAACAACAACAAAGATCTAACAAATTCTAATAACAATCTTTACCTAATTTCCTCTCGACCCTTTTCAAAATCTCAGCATTAAATTCATGAATCCGCTTCAGAGCCGCCCTTCCATTCGGATTCTTTTCCTCCACTCCTCTAGTGTTCCGTTTTGGAATCGCCACTTCCAGGGCTCTCTTCCAATCTCCATGCAAATTCACTTGTCTCAAAATTTCCGAAACCGCCAGAAGCGTCAAAAATTTAGAGCCTGACTTGAAATCGACGTATCGATCGATTGGAAGTTTCCGTACTAGAACTCCTGCAGATTGGGCGGCTTCCAGTGATGCATGCTTCGGAATCCCATGCTCTGGCACACGATCCACAATTCCTCCAATCACGTAAATCTTGTCGTCGTCTACAGATTCTAGTTCTTCTGATGCGTCCGGTGAGAGGTAGATGATTACTCTCTGAAATTTTTGAAGGGTTTTTTGAATTGTTTTTGCAAATTGAACCTCTTTAAAAATCTCCAGTCCATCCTTCGAAACCATCGGGCAAAATGTGTTCTCATTTTTCAATACTTGAATTTTATTGCCTTCCAACTCCTGAACTTTCTTATCATCTTTATCGTAATTCACAAAATATAGACGGAACGGATCTGGATAACTTCGATTTTCAGAAATGAGATACTGTAGTTGTAGAGCTGTGAGACCTCTGCCACGTGGACTTAAACGACTCAAAAATTGACAGTCGACAGCTAGAGTCGGCCGATTTTGGAGTCGAAATCCTTCGATTACTTTTCTAAGCCGAATCCAATTTTCAGAAATTGAATTGATTTTCGGAAGAATAAAACTGGGATTTCTGCTTATTTCAATTGCTTCTGCTCTTTTGATTTCTCGAATTTTCTTCTTCTTTTGTAAATCTGCTGCTTCTAATTTCTCTTTCCTATATATAAACATCATTTGCTCAAAACGAGCTTTTCGAGTTTTCACTTCTATCAACGTCTTCCAGTCAGAATCTGAAATTTTCAGGTTTTTCAAAAAGAAAATCAAAATTACTATACCTTTCAGTTTTGTTGGAAATCTCGAGGAAAGTCTTGAAAAAAGAGACAACTCTTCCGTTATACGATCCACCTTACAGTTCTGCTCATCACTCAGTTTTTCCCGAAAATCATGACTTGGCTTATGTGACGACGTCAGTAATGAAGGCCGCCAGATGACTGGGGCTACAAATTTTTGGGGAATGTTCAGAAGATGTCGAGCTTTGAATTCCAAAACTTGTAGAGCATTGGACAGTTTTTCCATTGAGAAGGGGTGGGTGACCTGAATTTTTTGGGAGTAAGAGAAGCGGGTTTTCTCTTCACGAAGTATCAATGCAAACTTAACAAATTCATATGCCTCCAGTTCTTGATGAAAAATATCTTTCCGGGGAAAAATGTTCATGAAATTAAACTATGTTTGTGTTTGATTAACAAATAAGGATTCAGTAGATAAGACAAGGTAACAGGAAACAGGTAAAACAAAAAGACTGGATTGGATAACATTATCAGTCGATTTTGATGACATTCCCTGGAAGTGAAGTGCGTCCAGTCGCTGAGTATGGGATATTGTACTTGGAGCAGCAGAGGCGATCCAAATTGGGGAATACGGAAGCTTTGGCTCTCATCGGAGTATCCACAGCGCGCTGAAATTCATATGAATTTAATTAAATTTTGAAGAAAAATAATTTACAATCGTATTGATTTCTGGAGCGTTTTTCTCGAAGACCTCAGGGAAACAATCAGAAGAGAGTTTTGCGATCAACTTCAGATGAGTGGTTGTGCTGAAATAATATAAATTTATTTTGGAAAATTACATGGGATATTACAGCAAATTGGCAGTCAATTTCTGCCTCTTCTCAGTTAGACCTGTCATACTTCCGTGCTTTTTCAGATGCTTCTCAAAGTCATCAACGAAGTTGGTAGAGAAATCTTTGCATTCTCTGCACTTGAAGCGCTTGAGACGTGGATTCTCACTGTCAAAGTGGGTCATGACATGCTCTCGAACCGCCATGATGAGCTTGGTAATTGGCTCGGCTCCATGAACTGTTGTTCCGCATTTCTCACAACGGATTCCATTGGCAATCAGCTCATTCTTGGCCTTGAATTGTGCTGACATCGGTTGCGGTTTGGCAGAGTTCGATGGAGAAGCCAGATCAGAGGTATCCGAATTTTGAGCGGATCTCGCATGAATAGCAACGGTTGCGGAGATGGCTTGAACTTGACTCATCAAATCCATCTGAAAGACTAATCATTATATTTTTATAACACCTTTTCTCTTACCGAGAACGCGTTCAACTGATCCTGAGCTTTCTGACGCAACTCTTCAAACTGGTCAACGGTGACATATCTTTGGGACGATGATAGATTTTGCCTCTCGTGCAATTTGTCCAAAGCATGACTGAAAATCGGCTTTGCTTCTGGACGTGGAAAAGAAGGAGTTCTGCGGGGTGTATATGCGTTTTCGACTCTCTTTTTCGCTGGTGGCTCTCCGTCTTCGTCATCACGATCGTATCTTTGAGACATTGATTGACTATCTGCCAATATCATTTCGTCCAAGGCCCGTCCGATATTCGGCTCTGCTTCTGGACGTGGAGAAGAAGCTCTCTCTGGATTTGCATTTTTTATGTTTTCTTTTGCTGGTGGCTCTCCGGTCTGATGATCGGCATCTCCATGATCATTGTCGTCCCCTCGACGGATACACTCAAGGAACGGGCGTCCGCGGTGGATTTGACCGATGAATTTTAGACCATCGGCTCTCTGTAATCAGCTTTTGAGCTTTTGAAAAATCTTAATAACTCACCAATCTATCGATCATCATTTGCGCATCATCTTTATCCCCGACGTAGATAGAGAGCTTCATATCGACATCGTGGGTGATGTCGTATTCATATTTCTGTGGGAATCCCTGGAAAAATAGTTTTCTAGCACAAAAAATCGAAAATTGTTGTTGAAATACCCTGAATTTGTCCAACAGATAGATTTGCTCCTCCTCGGTGATCTTATTTTTGAACAAAAGAGAGAGCATTTTTGGTATTTAGGTGAAAATTATTGGTTTGAAAATTTTGAAAAAGTGAGAAAAAATCCGGAAATCGCCAGTGGGATACTGTAGATTGTTGACAGTTTGGTTCAGTTTAGTGCTGCGAAATTGCGTACCTGGCATTTTGATTTACGAGCAATCACTAATTTCGAGATTTTCTGAAAAAAAAATTGTCTGAAATTCAGGTTTTGAATTCAAAATATATTGTCAAAAAATGATAAATAGGTGAATAAAAAGCTCAAAATAATTAAAAACTATGTAATTTAACCTAAAAACATTTCCAAATGAACAAAAGAAGGAAAATGAGTTTGTTGTGTCTGCGTTTACTCTCTTCCTTCCCCTCTTTCGCTTTGTCCTCTTTCATCGCTTTCTTCTCTCCTACACGTGATGATGCTCCTCTTTTTTTCCATCGGAAAGCATTTCGGACCTCTATATATACTACTATTAATCTTGCTTGCTTCAGATTTTTTCTACTACTTTTTTATATTACAATCTCTCCGCCGAAACAATTCAAACCATCACCACCACCCTCAACAATCCAACCTTGATGTTACCGATGTAATAAAAGAGATTAAATACATTTAAATCCGCCCGAAACGACAAGGGTTTTTGCATAGTAAAAACGTTGTTCCTTCGCCGGCCAACAGTATTCACCTACCGTCTGTTCTGAAGGCCTCTTCGGCGACATGAAATCTTCAAATTCCAATTCAGTCCTGGATTACTACGAGACTCAATGACCATCCGAAAGACTAACTTTCCGCCAAAACAAATATTTATCAAAAAAGAGAACTATTCGGTCTTAAAAAAAGCAGAAATAGGAAACCACTTGAAGTTGTGCTTTTTTTCAAACCTTTGTTATATATTTTTCATGAATAAAACGGAAATTTTATGTTAGCAGCACAAAAAACAAGTACTTTTCGTGCTTTTGTGAAACAAATTCTCACATCTCTCAATTGCGAATTCTCAATAAAGTCAAAGTTTCGTCGAAAAAAACAATTTTTTTGAAAATTTCTCCCTATCGGCAACCAAAAAGCAAACCATTCAATCCCTTCTAATATGATAAGAACCCCTTATGATTCTATCTTTTAGCGTTTCTTGACCAAAAATCTCTAACCTCAACCTAGCTTATAGTTACAAAATGGCTCCGAAGGGAGGAAATCAGGATAAAGAGGAAATATGGCCGTACAAGATCACAATTGGAATTTGTGCGATGCACCGAAAAGCGACCAGCAAACCGATGCGCGCAATTATGAAGAAGCTGATTGAGTGTTATGGGGTGATTCATAATTTCAAAAAAAAACTCTAAAATTAAACTCTTTCCAGCAATGGGTCGATTTTTTCATCTTTCCGGAACAAGTGATTCTAAACGAACCAATCGAAAACTGGCCACTTTGCCACTGTCTCGTCTCCTTTCATTCTACCGAATTCCCATTGGAAAAGGCGATTGCCTATGTGAAACTTCGCAAACCATACGTTATTAATAATCTCGATAGGCAGTATGATCTGGTAACTGTTCCTCGAAGATTCTTTTTAAATAATTAATTTTTCCAGCTTGACCGTCGTACTGTCTTCAAGATTCTGTCTGCAACGGCATTGAGCATCCACGTCACGGGTATGTGATTCGTGGTCGGCCGAATGAGCCGGATACCGAGCTGGTTGAGCATCCGGATCATATCGAAGTCAATGGAGAAGTGTTCAATAAGCCGTTTGTCGAGAAACCGATCAGTTCCGAAGATCATAATGTCTATATTTATTATCCATCGAGTGTTGGTGGAGGCTCACAGAGACTTTTCAGAAAGGTATTTTTGACAGAGACATCCTGTCACAAGGTCTTGGATTCAGAAAAAAAGAAGCGAGTGAGAGAGAGAGTGAGCGAGAGTCAGACACCTATTTCTATTTCTAAAAGAGAGATGACGTGGCAATTTATAAAAACTACAAACTACAATTTACAGTAACCAACACACTAATAAGCTTTTTTCTCTAGGGAACGATGTCCATCAAAGGCAAAAACGTCAAATCATGGCATGTGAGTGTGGAAAATAAAAGCGGTTTTGGCAATTGCGATCTATCGAGAATTAGTTTCTCGGTGGAGCGTTCCTGTGTGAGAGACTGGTGTGAAACTAGTATTAACCATCTAATTTCCCCTCTTCCGATTTTTCTAACTTCCTTTTTTTGCGGTGTACAACTTTTCAAAAATTTAATTCTCTAACCAAATGCTCTCAGCACCAAATTCTTCCCATTTTCCCCTTTTTTGGCACACATTTTCCATGTCTAGTACAAGCCAAACACTGAAGAATTCCTACCCTCCAGAAGTCTGAAAATTTTTTTCCAGATAAATAACCGAAGCAGTTGGTACTCGCCAAAATCAGAAGTTCGGAAGGAAGGATCGTATATTTACGAAGAATTTATTCCAGCTGATGGTACAGATGTTAAAGTGTATGCAGTCGGGCCGTTCTATGCGCACGCGGAGGCTAGGAAAGCCCCTGGATTAGATGGGAAGGTTGAACGAGACTCTGATGGGAAGGAAGTTCGTTATCCAGTGATTCTGAGCAATAAGGAGAAACAAATCGCCAAGAAAATTGTGCTGGCATTCGGACAAACCGTTTGTGGATTCGATTTGCTTCGTGCTAATGGAAAATCTTATGTTTGCGATGTGAATGGATTTTCGTTTGTGAAAACTTCAACTAAATATTATGAGGTAAATAACTGATTTTCCTACTTCCCTTGTTTTCCAATCAAACCCCCATTTTTAGGACACTGCCAAAATCCTCGGAAACCAGATCGTCCGTCATTACGCTAAAACCAAAAACTGGCGACTGCCTCCCGATATGCCTCAACCACCAATTCTAGATCTTGGCCTTGGAGATGATCCACCAATGATCACAACGCCTTCTGGAAAACTCGCCGAGCTTCGGTGCGTCGTGGCAGTCATCCGTCATGGCGACCGTACTCCAAAACAGAAAATGAAGTTGGTAGTGACTGATGAGAGGTTCTTTGCGTTGTTTGAAAAATACGATGGTTATAAGAAGAATGAGATCAAGATGAAGAAGCCGAATCAGCTGATGGAGGTGTTGGAATTGGCGAGAGCGTTGGTTTCTGAGAAACAGGTAAGGAGAATATAAGTTCATATGCAGTTTAAAACAATAGCATTCAACAAGTTATACATCGTCAGCTGCTTCCTCCTTCTTCATTTTCTCATATACAACAAAGAATTTCTCGAAGCTCTGCGACTTTCGGTATTTAATGTTCGCGTTGACACTCTCGAAATCTGCATTCACCAAACACCCCGCGTTGCTGATAATCTTTCCAGTAGATCTTGTACAAAGATTATTCATGAAACACAGTTTCGTTGGCTCAATCCGAAATGTTTCAACCTGAAGTGCCGGTTTATTGGGTGAAATGCAACCGTGAATGCTCGTCTGAAAACCCCTTTTTCGATGTAAAACAAGCAAAATCAAACTCACGAAGTTAGATTCCATAACGCTGGTTCTGTTCAGTGGCTTCATAGACTTTTCACCAGGCGATTTCTTCCAGAACATTGCTGATCCGACGCCGCGCAGATGCTCATCGGCAAAATAGAACTGAAAAGAAAACGAGTATAGAATAAGAACATGTCCTATTTTAGTACCTGTTGACGGTCCGGATATGTGGTACAGGCATTGATCGCGCAGGCGTCTACAGTGCGAGAAAGATCCAGTTTCAGTGGGTGGGAGGAATTGATGGTGTCTGTGAAAATGGGTGCATTCAGAATAAGCGATTTGTCGGCGTCTGGAGACAAGCCAAGGCGACCACTAACTTTGTCTGTAATGTTATTTTTCAAATATAAATGGAGCACTAGATTACTCACCATAGACGAAACCAGGAATAGTTTTTGAAATATAAAACAGCGAGGAGTAGTCCAACTGGGCTTCTTGATCAGCAAAGTTTTTCAATCCTTCATCCACGTGGATCGTCTTACGGAAGTTTTCAAGACTGAAAAACTTAGTCTTCAAGACAGAAACAAAATGAAGCTCACATCTGATCCAGACTATCGCAATCAATCACATCTCCTCTCGTCAACTTCCTCTTAAACTCCTGAATCAGACGACGCCCTTGAACTCCCGTATTTCGATAGAGGTTCGCATCTTTTCGAAAGTTTAGCGGCATGGAATCACAAAAATCAGCTAGCTCTTGAGCCGATTTGAATGGCATCTCTTGTTCCCCATTAATAGCCAGTAACAGGTTCGCAAACAGTTCCTCAGCATTCTGCTGCCCATTGACAATCAAGTTCGTTTCCACAAATGTTATGCGGATCAGATCATTGAGCAATTTCTCTTCCGCATCCTCCTGACTCATTCCCGTAACGTTTTGAAGAAATTCGACTGAATCATTGAACTTCTCTGCATGATCTTCTCTATATTTCGTCCTGAAAAAAGTAAGAAATCAAGGAGCTTCTTTTCGAAAGAGAAAACTCACCACCATAAGGTAGGTTCGAACTGTACTCCAATTTTGGGCCATTTTTCGTTAATTTCGGATTTCATCTTCATAAGTTTTTCTCTACCAGCACACTTGTTATCAGCGTCATTGGGATGGAAACGGCTCCTATACGCGTCATCACACATTTCGCTGAAAAGTGATATTGTTTGAATACGAAGCTGTGAAACAAAAATGAGAAGAAGCAGGGGAGGAAGCAGTTACTCGAGAAGAGAGCAAAGGGAAGCTATTTAGCTTTAAAGGTGGGGGGACAGGAGATTTTTCGTAGTTTTTTTGTAGCTAGAGTATGCATTCTACCGTCACGGTGTACAACGCTTAATGTCACTCTGCGTACAGCTGTCGTCCTCGCCTTTATGTATGCAATCGGGTAGGCGCTTTCTCTTTGCCCGCGTGGCTCAGTCGGTAGCGGCGCCGCACCCTCAATCATCGCCCTCACAAGTTCAACTCCTCGAGGGGCATCATTTAAAGGAATTTCGAGAACATTATTTTTTTCATGTCCCCCCACCTTTAAAGCTTCGCGTATCTGGTAAAATGTCTGCGTCTCTCTTGTTTTGTGTACACACTCGAAACATTTGAATAACAAATGAAGCTTTTGAAGATGAGTTGAATGAAAGAAAGGTTAGATCTACCAGTGATAACGGGTCCGCTATGTCGAGAAGAGAGAGCTGCGAATATAAAATGGCTGTGTCGTTTGTTTGAATCCCGAAACATTTGAATAACAAATGAAACATTTGAATTTGAGTTTCGAGAAAATTCGAATATTTTGATCTACAAGTTTTCATGTGAACAAGATTTGTGGAGCAGGTCTGATTTTTTAAAACCGCTTAAAGGTTGTAGAGTACCTTTTGGCTTGGCGCCATGACTCGATTGAGCCGTTAGAGTTCAAAAGGGCAAATGGGAAGGAAAAGAAGAAGACAAAGAAAATTGGGAGGAAGATGAGTAATGGAGATTTCAGTTTGAATCAAATGGAAATTGAAGTGAGGTGAATGACCAGGATTACGATAGATTTATAGGATGAGAGAAATAGAGAAATGGAAAATTGATACTGATTAGAACAAAACAAAAAAAGTTACCGACCAAGTTATATTCCAAAAACCACCGTTTTCAGCAAGAACGTCATAACCTAATCACATCGATGCGAGAAACGACAGATTCTGAAGATATTCACAAAACGGAGCATGATTTGGAAATGTGTGAAGAGGATGTGAAAAGATGGGAACAGATGCGGACGGTTTTGGAAATGTACGGCTATGGAGGTTTTGTGATGATTGGTGAACTCGCATGATGTTGTTTTATGTTTTGTCTTGTATACATTTATGTTCTGTACATTTTTGAAAATACCGTATTTCCTCTAATAGAAGTCCACCCAAACCATCAACTTTAATCTCAATTATCTCGATTCCTGTGAAAGCTATCAAAAATTTGTCAACTGATAAAATATTGGTGGTAATATGATAAATAATTTATCAGATGACAGATGTTTGATATCTTTAACAGAAATGGAGATAATTGAGCTCAAAGCTGACGGTTTAGGGTGGGTTTCTATTAGAGGAAATACGGTAGTTCAAGCCTTAGTTTTAAAGATATAGAAGGATGTAGTGAATGTCTAGGAAAAACAATTTTTCATTATTATTTATGTTCATTCTCTGAACTAACATATTGCACCCAGTATTATCTAACAAAAATTGGCTGGATGATAATAAATTGGAATTTCAAATGTTGCATGGCCGTTTATTTCGTTGTCTCTGTTCTAGAAATCCCTAATTTTAGGTATGGTCACTTCTCGGGAATCAATCGAAAAGTTCAGATGAAATATCTGAAGGAACGAGAGACAAAGACATCGGATGAGGAGTTGAAGAGAGATGGAGCAGCACTGTTGCTCATTCTGAAATGGGGCGGAGAGTTGACCACGGCAGGTAAGGGATTCAAAACCTTCAATAGGCTCAATGGTCCTTCCAATGTTCCAGGTAACATGCAAGCAGAAGCGTTGGGTCGTCTCTTCCGTACCCTCTACCCTGGAATCCGTCGAACCGATGGAAAATCGTCTCCAGAAGACACTCAGGGTCTCGGATTCCTTCGTCTTCATTCCACGTACCGCCACGATTTGAAGATTTATGCTTCTGATGAGGGACGGGTACAAACTACCGCTGCTGCGTTTGCAAAAGGACTTTTGGCTTTGGAAGGAGAGCTAACGCCGATTTTGATGCAGGTACTGAGTACGGTAGATTACTGTGTTTCACTAAATTTTCAATTTTTTCAGATGGTGAAAAGCGCCAACACCGACGGCCTTCTAGACGATGACTGCCAAGCGCGTCTCTATCAAACTGAACTGAAGAGATATCTTCATAAAGCCCTTCAAGCTGATCGTGATTTCACCCCGCAAGACTATCTAGAATTGAATCCAAATGGTCTTCGATCAATTGCAGCTGCTATGGAATTCATCAAGAATCCACGCAAAATGTGTCAGGAGATTGCTGGATACGTGGAGAAGATGTGCGGAGTGATTGAAGAGTATTCGCAGACGAAGCCAAGTGGATCCACGTTGTATCTTCAGGTAATACATGACTGAATAAAGGATAGATAACCATGAATAAAGAAGCTTTTCCAGGAATCGATGGATCTGGCTCAGCGTCGTTGGAATAAAGAACTTCGCGAGTTTCGTCGCAAGAATAAGCACGGAGAAGTTGAATTTGACATTTCCAAAATACCGGATATCTATGATAATATCAAGTATGATATGGAGCATAACCCGGATCTTTGTATTAATAACGAAGTGGAATTTGAACGAATGTATCTTTGTGTGAAGAATATGGCGGACATTGTGGTTCCACAGGAGTACGGTATCAAGACGGAGAACAAAATGGTGATTGCTCAGCGCGTGTGTACTCCATTGCTCAGGAAGATACGAAACGATTTGCATCGATGTCTAGAAAATAAGGAATCCGAGGAGACGCAGACGAGGTTGGATCCTAGAGCTTCACAAGGAATTGCCACGCCTTTTCGGCATGTGAGAACTCGATTATACTTTACCAGTGAGAGTCATATTCATACTCTTATGAATTTGATACGATACGGAAATTTGTGTTCTGTGGATGATAAAAAATGGCAACGAGCGATGAATTTCTTGTCAGGAGTCACTGAATTCAATTATATGACTCAAGTGGTTCTGATGGTCTATGAAGATTCTAGGAAAGAGAAAGACGAAAATGACACTGCTCCCAGATTTCATATAGAGATTTTGTTCTCTCCAGGGCTTTATCCATGCTTCCTAACCGAGAAAGAACGCATTTATGAGTCTAGATTCAAGTGAGTTTTCTTTCAAAAACCGAAAAAATAATGAATGAAAATTTCAGTTTAAGCACTAATCCAAAGCCAGCCACGTCTTCCAAGTCTAGCAGAGAATCCAGAGATACCAATGATTCAGCCTCTTCTTCCACTGAAGGACGACGTCCGAGTACGGAGAAGTTGGTTACTGTAGTCACGCCAACTCAGCTGAGCACTCCTCAAGTCACCAATGATGACTTGTCCATCAGTAGTAATGCAGAATCTACTGCAGCAGAAAGTACAGGGTAGGGAATTATTTCAAAAAAAAAATTCCAAAAATTTTAAAAAATCCCAAAATTTCTCAATAATTTAACTTTCAGAAATTCAAAAAATTCGAAAACTTCAATCAATCAGCCAGTATCAGATTTTTCGATTTTTTGAAATTCCGAAAAATACGAAAATTCTAAAATTCCCAAACATCGAAAGTTCTCAAAAAAAAATCAAAATTTTCAAAAAGTCCAAAGACATTGAAATTTCAAAAACTCCAAAAATGGAATTTTCGGATTGTAAAAATTCTCCAAAAAGAAAACCACAGATTCGACATTCCTAAAATTGAAAAAAAAATCTCAAAAAAAACCCAAAAACTCGAAATTTCTGAAATTTTCAAAAATTTGAAACATTTCAAAAAAACCAAAAATTCAAAAATTCTGAAATTTTAGAGATCCTAAAATTTTTCAAAAAACTAAAAAATTTACTATTTTAGATTTCAAAAATTCGAAATTTGAATAATTCGAAATTTCTAGACGATTAAAAAATTGAAATTTCTGAAAAATTCCAAAAATTGTGAAAATTCGAAAACTGTTGATACAATAATCGAAATCACAGATTGCTTAACACAACCGGAAAATCACACAACGACTCTGAAGACGATCTGAATGACGTGGAATCGGTTAACCTGGTGGCGCTGGATGAGCTGAATAGCACCGCGAAGACTTGTTAGTTTTACCGAAAAACCCCACAAATCTAGATTCTCAAAAAAAATAAGTTCCTGTAAATGTCGCTTGATGTGCTTCTCCCTGAAATAACCCGCCCCTTTTTGACTTCTTCTTCTGCTTAACCCTTTGTTTGCAGTGACCGAAGACGGAAAAACGGCGAAACGGCAACGAAGTGTCACCGGAGCCGAGAAGTCGATGGAGGTAACGTGCTCTATTGATAACGATGACGTGGAAAAAAATACTAACACAGTTTTTCTATGCAGGAAGGAGACAAACCGCACGGAGAATGGAAGGGCAATCAAGTGGCGAAAAGTGGGAGTCAGGTTAGAGTTTAGAGGATTACTGTACATATAACTTGAACTGAAATAAATCAAAAACTGACCATATTCCCTATTTTGCCGCTCAAGGTGTCCGTCGGCTCGAACGAAATGGAGTCCAACAACGAGAGCATGGAGACGGTGGGTGCTGGAAAAGGCCAGTGGGTCAAAGACCTGTTGGATCAAACGAAACGAGCGATGGCGATGAATTCGATTCGTGAAGTCGAACCATCACCGCCCACGCAGGTTGTCGAAGAGGAATCAACATCAGCTACAGAACGACAATCAAGATGTGAGAGAGAAAAATCCCTGGGAAAAATATTTTTGAGTGACCTACTTTTTTGGAACTTTGAAAGCATGTTGTGAACAACTGAAAAATTCTAAAATTCGTTCAAAAAATTACCATAAAACCTGTGATAGAAGGGCCCCCACACGGTCCAGTTTGGGCTCAATTATCTTGGCTCTTAATAACATGGAATTTTTCGGATATTCAAAAAATTCCAAAAAATTGGAAAGTTTCAGAAAAAAGTTCACAAATTCAAGAACAGAAATTTCAGAAAATCCAAAAAATTTGAAAATTTGAAAAAAAAATCTGAAAAATGATTTTTTCGATTTTTGGAATTTTCAGATTTTTAAAATTCCGAAAAATTTCAAAAACTCTGAAAAGTCGAAAGCTCCGAAAAATTCGAAAATTGACTTTTTCGATTTTTAAAAAGGAATTTTCGGATTTAAAAAATTCAAAAACTCCGAAATTCGCGAAAATTCGAATTTTCTGAAATTAAAAAAAAACTAGGTGCCACTCGTTTTCATTTTTAGTGTCTTTACCAGAAACCGAAATAGGAGCCCTTCTATTACAGGTCTTACGGTATCCTACTATCCTGCTCCTCCCATCTTTCCCTCACTAAAAAAAATTAAAAATCCATTGTAAAAATAGGTCAGCGCGGTTCATTCCATGTCATCGAACCACCACAAATCGAAGAAAAATGTGAGCTTACACCCAATTTTTTTGTTTTTCTGATTTTTTAAAAAAATTTAATTTCTCTCTGCAATCCTCACAATATTAGCAATGTGCTTCGTAAATGTACCGTATCTGTGTCATCTGTTCATGTCCGCGCTCTACCGAAAACCAATGTTTTCAATAGAGCGAATTTTCTGTGCTGTGCGTGCTATCATAATTATCATTTAGTTACTTTTCTTATCAATTGTTTAGTTCCCCTGTTTTTTCCTCTAATCCCAATTAGAGCGCACTTGAAATCTCACTAGATGCCACTAATCGAGTAGTTTTTTGATTTGTTGATTTCTCTTTTCTAATCAAATCCTATATAATTTCGTTTTCCATTTTTTTAGCTCGTCGCTACTTTCCGTATAGATTCAAACATCACACGGCTCAATTGCTAACAGGTTTGAGTTTTTTTTTTACTTTTTGAGATTACTGATACTGAAACCTGTCGCATGGTTTTCAACTCTAGACCCTAGAGGCTGAGCAAAATACGGTAGAGCATACTTTCAGATTTGGGGATGAACGGTGGCGGAGTCCATATGCAGAATCGCCTTATCAGTACTGATGTTCTCACTGGAAAGTTTGGAGATCATGACAATAAGAAGAACCCGAGAAAAGGTGATTTGCGATAGAGCGCATCCGCAACCCTTCTATTATAAATTCGTTTCAAGATTTAGATTTCGGTGCTGGAACGGCCGTCTTATCCACTGCCGTGATTGCCAGATCCTCGTCTGCGCCACGACTGATGACCTATGAATCTGATGATTTCTCTGTTGGAGGTGAGCAAATGCAACAGAGCTTGTCTCCTAATTTCCCAACAACTTCCAGAAATCAAACGCTTCTGGCCACCGCTTCGCTCACTGGAGACCCTTCACGACTCCATTAACCTATCCCAATTCGATGGATTTCTTGAGAGGCTGATCAAAGGAGCACTGACACCTCTTCCATCTCCACCAAAGACTCCCCTTCCAACCGCCTTGTCTTGTGATGCTATCAACAAGACGCCGACGCAGGATGAGGTGGAGCAGGTCATCGGAAAGCTAGCACCTACGTCTAGTACAGATTAAGATTTATGTCAATTGTGTATTTTCATTTTCATTTCGTGTCACAAAATGGTTGTTTGATTTGATTTTTTTTGGTCTATGTTTCAGTATTTATTGAATTATGAATAGCTTGAATTGCTGGGGGTTAAAATATAACAGAGATTGATTCATCGAGATCCTTGCCTAGAAATACAGTGGGAAGGAATGGCACAAGAAAATAAACCGGTTTTTTTCATGAAAAGAATCAAATTATGGTCGTTGATACCCACTAACAAATGGAACTCCAATCCACACTTCTCTTTGGTATTCCACGTAGGCATCACCGAAGAATGCAATCAGATCTCGTTCTTCGTCGTAGATTCTAGAAGCGAAGAAGTGCCACGTCACGTAGGCGTAGACGACGAAACAAATGGGATTGCAGAGGATGATTTGGGTGGAGACTGCCCAGACGAACCAGCCTAAATTATCAGAATTGGAGATAATAGAGATTAAATTTTGGTACCAAAGTATCCAGGATGTCTCATATATGCATAAATTCCATCCTTCACCAAACGATGATCCACTCGTTTTTTCATTGCTAACCGGTGGGTAAAACCGAGTCCGGCGTGAATCATCGCCAGCTTTCGGCAGATTTCTCCAATTATACATCCAATCGTTCCGATCCATAGCACTGGATAAGATTTTATGCCCGGGAAGAAGTAGGCTTCGATGCCGAACTCCACCCAACTGATTCCAGCAGCCAACCAGTATCCAACAGAGTGATTCAGAAGAAACGAATCGGGACGGAGCGATCGCCGATTCGTCAGCGCGGTGAACACGAACTCGGTAAAGTGAAAGAGGAATAGGAAGACGAAATAACGAGTCAAGTGCTCCCAGGTTTCGCCTTCATGGGATACTGTATACGCCAGATTGACAGCTACCGCCTGGAATGATTTTTTGTATTTTTTGATTCTCGTTTTTGAGATTTTTGTAAATTTGGGGTTTTATTGAGATCGCAGAAATTAGTTAGATTTGTTAGTTTTCGATTTTTTTCAAAAATTCTGACTACAAATAATACAAAGGCTACAAACTACAAAAATTACAAAATTTATAAAAATTAATTTGAAAAACCTTAAAATTTTCATTTTTCCATAAAATTAAAAAAAACGAAATTTCGATTTTTTTTCAGAAATGTAGACTACAAAGACTACAAAGACCACAAAGACTACAAGCTCGCGATTTGGGGATAAAATTCGAACTGTTTAGTTTTCAAATTATTTAGGTCGCAATTTGAAAAAAAACCAACCAAATT